AATATTTTATTTTTTATTTTATTTCACTTGCATGCTATGCAATTCGAATTTAGGATCTTTTAGTTTTAAAAGAAAGAGATGACAACTAAATTACTTAATTCGTTGGTTATTAATCATTTAATTTTTAATAATAACTACTAATTATTGTATAATTAAATAATTATATTAATCAAATTTGTTATCTATTATTCATTACTTAATTTTTATTATCTATTATCTATTATTTATTATCTATTATCTACTACTACTACTTATTATCTGTTACCCACTATTTACTATTTGTTATGTGCTGAATTTTAACTGTTACACAAAATATGCTCTGAAATTTAAGGTTTAAGAATAATTTTAATACTTTTTAAAATTGAAGAACAAATTTGATACAAATCCGAAATTTGAGGAACCAAACTCACATTTTAACCTTAATATTTTTTTATTTAGCAATTATAAAGGATTAACTCATAATCACGAAATCGTTGCGTGTACAAACGTACCAGTATAAATCCCACTCCAGATGGACTGGGGGGCCCACCGAACCGCCTCCGATGGATAAAGCAGGGCATCGGGACCCACATTACCCCTTCCTCCGCTCTCTTATCTCATCATCATCCCATCTCCTCACTCCACACCACACCTAACTCCTAACCATCGTAAAAACCAACACACCATACACGTGTCGACCATCACTTGCTTCGGACTCCGCTTCGGCCCACACGTCCCTTCCTTTTTCCTCCACGCTTTCTCATTCAGTTTCCGTTTTCTCTCACTTTCTCTCTGCTCTCTCTCTCTGTGTGAACAAGAGTATCTTCTGTGTGATCAGTGTATTAAACACACTCTTTTTTCCTGGGTTTGATTTTCCTCCTTTCTAAAGAAACTGATTCTCCGGACGATCATGATAAGGTATACTGGTGTAGGATTTTTTTTTTTTTTTGGGGTTTTCTTTTTGCTTGATTCTGTTTGTTTTTCCAGAAAAATTTTCCGGGAAAATTCTATTTTTCTGGATTGTCGGTCTCATAATCTGTACCTTGATGTCAAGTTTGGGACCGTTTGCTATTTTCCCTTATGTTCTTTTAGACTTTTAAATAGAATCTGCTTTTCTCTGTGCAAAAACCACGACTTATTGTTTGCCGGAAAATTTTGCCGGGAAAACTATTTCCACGAGATCGGAATATGTAGACGCAAGATCCTTTTTTTTTTTTCTTTTTCTCTCTCTCTTTTTTGTTTCCCCTGAAGTTGATTAATTTGGCGCGCTATGTTTCATTGAACGACGGAGACAATTTTTTTATTTTTTCCCTTTTGTATTAATTGCATAAGTTATTTGGCATCTGATCGTGGATTTCCTTAATTTTTTTTTCTCAAAGAAGAAACTTAACTATCGTTAATATTAGATTCTGGGTCGTGTTATTTGTTATGCAATTAGGTGTATTCAATAGAGCTGATTAATTAACAATTATTGCTGTTATAGAAGTGTCATGAAGCGTATTTGAAATTTTTTTCTTTTTATTTTTCTTTTGTAAACCAAAAGTTTTTATGTTACCAGATAATTTATTTGAAGTAAAATGATTTTAGCATGGGGGGAGGTGAGGATAATGAGGAATATATAACATGGACATAACATACATGTTTTAGATTGGTTGTTTTCCTGAAAACTGAAATCTCCTGAACACTTAACACCCTCTTGTGGTTTTGTTCACAATTACTGTTTCCTTTTATAAGATAATGTAACCCATTTGTTGCAAAATGTGTTGTTTAATAATTTTGGGTAGAATAAGCAAAGTTTTCTGAAAATTGCATTGTTAGGAAGATATATTTTCTTAATAATGATCATTTAGGCTAAGTACTTAGTCTGGTTCAGTGTTTCTTACTCTTACAAGTTGATATGATAAAATGCATGTTTTTATTTATGGTAATTGAATGGATTAATGTTCTGCTGCAGTTATTGTGACATATATTGATTGGAAGGTATTTCCTCAATGGGGAGCGCTTGTTCTAGGAAAAGAGACCAATTGGACAATGAAGATAGTTTACACAGAGGGGTCACTAGAATATATTGCAAAAGTGGGAGTTCAAAATGGTTGGTAACAACATTTTCTAAACCTGCTGTGGATATGCAACGGGGAAAAGGACAATGTCCTTCCCTCATGGAATTGTGCATCTATAAGACACGTGAGGTATGCCTTACCAGACTGTGATTATTTAAGTCTGAAGACTCTGAACTGATTTTCTAACTGTACTTGTCACATGAGCAGGACATAGATAGATACAAAACCTTCTCTATGCTTCCAAGGGATATAACGCAACAAATCTTCAATGAATTGGTTAATTCCCATTGCCTAACTGAAGTTTCTCTTCAAGCTTTTAAGGATTGTGCACTCCAGGTAAATGTTCAAAGGGTTTGGTAGATTGGCTTTGAAATCCTTGTCACTGCTTCAGTTCTCTGCTCTGGTTGATCAATAACTGTGATCTTTGGGTCTCTTGTTCTCACCAGGACCTTGACTTGGGAGAATACCCTGGTGTGAATGATAATTGGATGGGTGTTATCTCATCTCAAGGATCGTCCTTGCTTTCTGTGAACCTTGCTGGTTCTGATATCACTGATTCTGGGTTGATGTGTCTTAGAGTTTGCGGAAACCTGCAAGACATAAATCTTAATTGCTGTTACCAGATTTCAGACTATGGGCTACAACACATAAGTGGTAATGGGTTATTCTGCAATCAAATATTAGTTTTCTATGATAAGAATGTGGGGTGAACTAGAGAGTGAAAGAGAGAGATATAGTTGTTTGAGTTGTTCAAAGAAAAGTTATCTTGAGAAAAGATGAAAAGTGAAACGAGAGCAGAAGGAAGTAGAATCATTGTTATTGTGAGATGCAATTTGATCATTTCCTTTGCAAGCTGGGCCTTTAGGATCTTAAGTAGCATGGCTTTGATTCACCTTTCTTTTTTTTTTTTCCCCTGATTATTGCCGTATCATTTTATTTCCTTTCTCTCTTTTCATCCTTTGTAATTATAATAATTAAATCTTTCAGCTCTTTCAAACCTGACTAGCCTGAGTTTTAGAAGGAACGGTACAGTTACTGCACAGGGAATGAGTGCCTTAGCTGGCTTAGTTAATTTGGTGAAGTTGGACCTGGAGAAATGCCCTGGAATTCATGGTGGACTTGTTCATCTCAGAGGTATATTGTCTTTTCCAAAAAAATGCGGCTTGGGAATATCATGTGGTCCAGTTGTCTGAAACAATATGGTCCTTCACTTACCCCTGCTATTATTGTATATCATAATGAATTACTTTCAAGCTGTTCAGCTCAGGATATTATTTTTGATGAATGTTTTAATAATTAATGATACAATCATGAATGCTAGAGGCTACTTATTGCAGGTTTAACAAAGTTAGAGTCTCTTAACATCAACTGGTGTAAGACCACAACAGATGCCATAACAGATGCTGATATGATGCCTCTTTCAGGTAATTCAATGTTTATTTGGTGTTCTTCAAAATATATGCTTTTATATATTTACTGATTGTCTTTTTTCTTTGGAGGCTTACAAGATATGCAAATAATTGACTCTAGTTCAGTTAATATCTAGAGTTGAAGCTCCTCTGTTTGATTAATTAACTGCATTTTGACATTCACAAACCAAAAGTTGCTCATACGCTCTCTATGTAGTGATTGTCCTTTCTTCCTTATATGTGGATGCCCTTTTTCATTTTCTGAAAAATAAGAATCAGATGTGTATGATTAGAGAATGAAATATTTTGGAATAAGTGAATCACCAGTGCTTATACTTTGGCAAGAATATGCAATGTACTCTCAAAGCTTTTATTTACAGCATTCAAGTTCCTCATATTCTGAAATTGGTGCAATTAAGAACTAAAATGAGTAGAAGTTAATGGTGTATAATGTGATTCACAATAATAGATTATAGAAAAAAAAAAAAATTGGCATCCCAACTGTAGAATTATTGCTCAAAATTTCTAATTTACAAACTATTCTTCCCTCATAACATGATAGTGTTAATCAGTACAAGCATATAATATCTAGTTTTGGATGATAATTTTTCTTTGTTGCTATTTTGACCAGAATAACTTCTTAATGACACAGTCTCTAGTGAGATGAATTCAATTATGGCTTGACAGCATTCATTTGTCCTTCTGTAATGTGGTGATGTTTTTCATTATGAGCATCATAACAACTTGTTAGTTATGCTTCAATCTTCTCTAATTGCTCATTTGATCACAGTAACCCATTATTACTGTTGAAAATAAATAGTTATCACACTTTAGAAGTGTGTGTCAACTATTGACACATGCTGTAGGGACTTTGATTGCTGTAAGTAAACATCAAGGGACTAAACTCATGGTCTGAATAACTAACTGTGTGTATTAATTCGAAGATCAACCTCATATTTGGATGAGCATGAATTCTTGGCTTGTTCTTTGACAGTTGATGGAGGCAAATGCTCCTGTTTTCGTCTGTAATGCTAATTGCTTATCTGATTATGTTTCAGTGCTTACAAACTTGGAAAAACTACAGATATCGTGCAGTAAGGTTACAGATGCCGGCATCACTCACTTAAAAGGTTCTTCATTAGCTATCATTTTTCATTTTTGTGGTTAATCTTCTTGCTTTTTGTTCCATTATTTAGATGAAAAATTACTTTCAAGGCAATCATGCTCTACTGATAGTTTTCACAGTGAAATGTTAAGATAAACTTACCAACTCATTCAAAGACATTAGGTGTCTTCTTCACATCTTACTTTATGAACCAGAGACAAGTGAACTGGTTCCAACATATTTAATTTGCATTATTAAAGGTTTTCTGTCTGAAATATATTGAAAATCCAATCTGCATAACTGTATCTTAAACAATAACATTATCAATCTGTAATATGAAATCACTGGGCAGATCTGGTAGGTGCTTTCCACTGGGCATACAGTGTTATTCATGTATGAGTATGGAATAATATTGTTTTCGCAATCAATATGGAAAACCTTTGTTCTCTCCTGTTGAATATTATAAAGGCTTTAAATGACTAGATGCAGGGACTAATATCAACTTCATATTTATAACAAAGATTGTGGCTGCACAAGAAAATGTAAAATGTGTGACATAACTGCCTGGTGCTAACTTCTAATTGAAGATAGGCCAAAATTTAGCCTTCTGATAATAAAAAATATATGTATATATTTTAAAACATTGATATATTCTTTTTATTTTGGTTGATTCTCCAAGGACATTTCTTATTACTTCTGTCAAAAGTCTATATTTCTTTTATTTCAGGGTTGCTAATTGGTGTTTGAGTTTGACCTGTCTCATGACGATTAAATTTACTATAACTGATAAATTATTAAGTTTCTACCCCATGATTGTGATGTTGTATATTATGTGTATGTAGCCTCACCTCTGCAAATTGCTTACCAGTGAACTTAGCATTTCTTGATTGGCAGCATTTCAAAAAGTTTTGAACTTGGCTGTTTGACTGACTGATTGTTAAACTTCATTTTCTCTTTGCATGCTACAGGTCTGCAAAAGCTTTCTATATTAAACTTGGAGGGCTGCCCAGTAACTGCTGCATGCCTGGATTCTCTTTCAGGTTTTTATTGCTTTCTATTCATGTGCATGAGTCATTTTTCTTTTGGAAGTGACATTTTGAATGCAGTCAGTATTTTGACAGTTGTTTAGCCTATATCTTAATGCTCTTCATTTTTTTCATTGCAGCATTATGGTTGTTGTAATGAATAACTTATCCATTTTGGTTTAGGAATTAACATCAGTCATCTGATCAATGTGATTATTTCATCTGTTTTTCTTTCTTTTTCTTTTTCTTTTTTCTTTTCTTTTCTTTTCTTTCTTTTCTTTCTTTTTTGGTCATATAACATGGTTGTAGTTTTTGAATGAGTTGATTGGTCATATGAACATTTTCACATTCTCATTCTTTTTCTCTCCTCTTCTTTCTGTATTTGATTCAAATGGTGTTTACTCTGCTTGTCTTTACACAGCTCTTGTTGCCTTGCAATGTTTGAATCTCACCAGATGTAATGTCACCGATGATGGAAGCGAGAAATTTTCTTGTGAGTTTTGTTGTTGTTATTTGTCTTTGTTATGTATTTGCTTACTTTTTCTTGCCATGAAAACGTAGACAATAACTGTGAACTTTTTCAATTTTTTTTTACAGTGCTTAGGAATCTAAAGGTGCTGAACTTGTCTTTCAATGAAATCACTGATGCATGTTTGGTACACATGAAAGGTCCTCCTTCCCTCCCTTCCCCCTATACTATTTGGAGAAGTCTCATCTGTATTATTTGCTTTTTTTAATCTTTTTTTCATCAATAATGGCAATCTTGTAGAAAGTTACGTTTTTTCTGGTAACACGTTGAACTTAGACCTTTTAAAATGTGATAAGGCTACTGTTGAAAATTTGAATATATTATTTGCCAAAAATGTTGAAATTAATGTCATTCATAGAATATTTTCATTTTTGGTGATGTGTGCAAGTTCCTTAATTAATTATCTTTCTTTTTTCATGGAATTGATTTATTTCTTCATTATTATTAAGTCCTAAATAGTCTAGGATTAGGGTTTTAGGTTCCATGCAATTTTTTTGGTACTTGAGAAACTTTAGCGTGGTTAGCAATTGCAAAGGTTTCAACCCTGAGCTCGATTCTATAATTGAGATTTTGAAATTACAAAAGCTATCATACTTTAAGTTTATGCCACATCATCTTATGGTATGTAACTGTTTAAAAGTGTTTTGAGTTCCCAAAAGTGGTTCTCCTGAATTATTTCACCAATTTTGTCTATTTCTTTTCTCCCTCTTTATTACTCTTTCTCTTTTCATCCATCTCAATTGTAATGATCCTCTTTGAGCCTTGAGGAAGGTATTTTTTCTTTTCTCCAACCTGTCACCCAACCCACAAAAACCAAAAAAAAAAAAAAAGGAAAAAGAAAAAGATTCTGCTAAACAATTAGAATATAGTGGAATTAAAGTTTCTTTAGATAACTTTTAATATATTTTCTTATTTGTTTGTTTGAGGATATACATTTTCTGGGCACCTTCAAATTTCACAAGTAAATATCTCCAGTAAAAAAATCAGGTTTTTAAATTGTTATCTTTCATCTTATGGTTTATAACTTTTTTCCCTTGCATTAAAACTAGGTTTGACAAATTTGGAGAGCTTGAACTTGGATTCATGTAGAATTGGTGATGACGGTCTTGCCAACTTGACTGGTCAGTGCTCAAGCAGCATTCTTCTACCATTTATCTTCTTCTTCTTTTTCTTTCTTTGATTCTTTCTTTCTTTCTTTAATGTTTTGTCATGAAAGTGTTGTTTGTCAACCTTTTCAACCCAACAGGAATACAAAATTGTGCCTCTTTGTTTTAATTTGCAGCCCACTCTGAGTACACACACATCTGACCCCAAATTTTGTGTGGCTGTACTCTGGAAAATATAATTCTTAAGTGAGAGAATTTATGTGCTAAAGATTTATGGTTTTGTCTTTTGATATCCATGTTAATAAGATATGAACCCCAAAATCAACCAGAAGGGTTAATCTTACTAGTTACAAATGGTAGAAGGTTGGATTCTTTCATTTAGAAGAGTCACTGTCATTTTTAACTGAAATATTGATTGTATGTTTCTGAACTTTGGTTGTAACATAAACTGATTTGAAGTCACTAGGTTATTTATCAAATCATTTGCTTATTATTACAGGGAAAAGACAGGATATATTCTTCTGAAATGTGATTGATCTATTTCTCTTCTCATTTTCAAAGAATGAATGATGTTTCTGGAGGGAACTAACAGTTTTAGTTTAGAAGTCTACCTTCTTAGCTCTTACCACTAGCCTGAGTGACATGAAGTAGTTGATTTCTACAGTCTCTTAAAATGTAGGAAATTTTCAATAAATTATTGGAATTATTTACAAGTTTGCCTCTAGAGAGTAGAAAGGCAAGAATTGAGTTTATTTGGAGTATGTCTGGTCTTGCACTTCCTTCGCTTGCTGCTTGTTGTGTAAGTTATGTTGTCATTGCATCTCCTTTATGCTCCAAAATGATGCTGATATCTCTAGTCATTCTGAAGATGTTTTACTTAATGTTTTGGAGCTGAATGGGTAGGGCTCCTTTTTATGCTCATTTCATGTCGATCATATCCCCTCTTTGCTCAGGGGTGGTATGATGGGCGAGAACAGAAAGTCTCATATCTCCGTTTCTTCCCACTTTTCTGTTTTGTCATCCTGCTTTAAGCTTCTACTTTTTTACCTCTCATTGACAAATAATAGTCTTTTGCTTTACTGTCTTCTTGGTTTTCAGGCCTTCAACAATTGAAATTTTTGGTATTGTCTGATACTGAAGTTGGAAGTAATGGTCTCCGTCATCTGTCTGGTTAGTAGTCAAGCCCCCCTCCTGCCTCCCTTTCTCTCTCTCTCCAACTATTGTTATATATGTTAATTTGCTTCTCTTTCTTATAGGTTTGATTAATCTAGAGAGCGTAGACCTGTCATTCACTGAAGTCACTGATGTTGGTTTGAGGAAACTTGCTGGACTGTCATCTATTAAATCACTTAATCTGGATGCTCGTCAAATCACAGATGCTGGACTTGCAGCTCTAACAAGTAAGCCTGTGTAAATGAAATTATCTGAGAAAATTTTGCCTTCTAACTGCTCTTTAATTCAAGAAATTTGGCCTTTTTATTTCTTGAAGAGTATAAATCTGTCATTCAACATTAATGTTTGATTTCTGCTTTTCTTGGTACAGCTTTGACTCAATTGACTGATCTTGATCTTTTTGGAGCTCGCATTACCGATTCTGGGACAAGTTACTTGCGGAGTATGTATATGTAGCATGAGATTTTATTGTTTTAAATTGCTTGTCAAAACATCATACATACATAGATACATAAACATGTGTATGTATGTGGGAGAATTCAAACACAGAACTTAAGGCTGGGGAATATGCACGTTACTAGGCTACATGCTAAAGTGCAAAAAGTCACATATTTTTAGTTATTGGGGTTTGAAGTGTTAACTAGGTTTATTAAGATGTTAATGTTGGTTCCCCAATATAGAAGAATGTCAAATGGCTTCTGATTTCGCAAGCTAATTGTCAATTATGCTTTAATTTTCTTGTACTCATGGAAGCCCCAACATTTTTATGTTACCACCTCAAGTATGTTATTACCTAAGGTAGCATGGTTCCTGATTGAATTTGAATATGGCAGTTGACTTTTTATTATTTCTACAGGTTTTTTAAACTACTTGCATTTTGTTTGCAATAATAATTATTGATCCCTCTCCTAATTGCAAAACAGATTTCAAGAACCTGCGCTGTTTGCAAATATGTAGCGGAGGATTGACAGATGCTGGTGTGAAGAATATCAAGGATCTCTCATCCTTGTCCCTGCTAAATCTGTCACAGAATTGTAACCTGACAGATAAAACCTTGGAGTTGATCTCTGGTACTGCAATGGCTCTTATCTTCTCTCCAATTGCTTAGTTGGGATAAATTTTGGAACTAAATATTGTAGAATGTTTCAAAGTGCATAAATGTAGGATTCATTGTGCTTAGTTTGCAGTTTCGCATTTGGCTGATGATGGTGCTGGTAGTCAAGAGGTTCAGGTTTTACCATAAATCTTATCCCATTAATTAGGTGAATTTTTGGACTTGTTGGTAATGGTTGGTGAATATGACTGGAGAGGTGTATGGGATCTTCTTTTCTGAAATCAAGGATATTCTTTGTTCTTGAAGTCTGAAGTTTAACAATACATTATTATGAGCTTGAAGGTCTGCCAGTGAATCTGACCATACACCAAAACCAAGCATTTGAATTAGGATGCTGTAGATGGTCTTATTCAAGAATGAGATACTTTGGGCCTGAGAGAGAACATAAAACTAAGTAGTTATCATTCTTAAATAAATGAAACTAGGTTGGATATCTGTCATCATGCATCTTTCCAGTCTTAAAACTGCTTGTCAACAGAATTTTCATTCACATGCTCTCATTGAAATGCAGGATTGACGGGATTGGTCTCTCTGAATGTTTCAAGTTCTCGTATAACTGCTGCTGGATTGCGCCATCTGAAGCCAATGAAGAATTTGAGATCTCTGTCCCTGGATTCTTGCAAGGTGACAGCAAATGACATTAAGAAACTTCAGTCAAGTGACCTTCCTAATCTGGTATGCTTCCGTCCTGAATAGTTATGGAGAGCCCCAGTGGTACGCATTTTGTAAATATCTTACTGTTGGATAGAAGAAAGCAAGCTATGTAAGTACACGTTCAGTTTATTGTAAATATGGATGGACTTGATGGCCGCTGAAACATGGCGCTCGGAAACCAAAGGATCTTATTCAGGAGCCTAAACAAGAGCTCCTTGTCTTGCCTTGAAGGTTCCCCTTTCGTAGTTGGAAATAAATTGTAAATTAGGGTCTAGACAAGTGTCTAAGGTGTGAAATCATCTCAGATGCTACATATAGATTGAAAACTTATCATGTACATATTTATCGGTGGAGCCTTTGGATAATTTATGTCAATGACACTTTGAATCTATTAGGGTGAATGCTTGTGTTAATTTCTGAGGTTTCTGCATTAATGTTTATGCGTAGTCTGACCAGATGCTTATTAGAGGGGTGGGGAGGGCGGCAGAGGATTTATATAGATCATGTGGTGCATTTGAGAAGCGTTGCAGGGATAAGAACAAGGATGAAGCCACCGATTTATTTGATCACATTGATCAGAAATTGGCTGTAGGGGATGACCCTCACTTGTTTTGCAAAGTCTCAGCTTTTTCTGGTTTCAGTGCTTATAACGTAAATGAGTGGCTTTTCCCCAAGAGGACACCCACTTTGTTGGTGGATTCTATCAAGCACACAAAGCGTATAAACAGTTCCAGTAGAAATGTCAAACAGACGGTTTTTTACTTGAGCAAAACCTTACGTTATGCTCCTATATTACGTTAGATTTTCACCTTATATCCTCAATTAATTTCTCAAGTTTTTGAATTTGATAATTTGAGAAATTTTAGCTCTCTTTATTTTTTATGATGGTACACAACTCGTATAAGTATTGATATATCATTGTTTACATGACAAATATTGATTGTCCATATAGATGAGGTACAAAAAATGATTAAATTACTTAAATCGTCAAATCGTCGAGTTTATTTTGCTTCAATAAAAATCTAAAATCTAAGGGTTTAATCAAGAATCTAAGATAAGTTTAGAGGTTTAACATTGGGTTTTGCCTTTTTCTTATTTAGGTAGACTGAACCATGATGGGTCAAAATTAAATGAGCAATCATTTATATAAAAACGAGACAATTCTACCCTGCAAAAATGCTAACGAGTGAAATGACCAAATACATATTCCTCATGTTAATAAAATCAAGAATACAGGAATGTGAGTCTGACAGTAATACAATGTCCGCAGCCAAAAAAAAGAGTAGAGGAAGAACATTAAAAAAATTTATTTTAAGTTCTGTGTATTTTCCATGACGATAAAATTTTCAAAAACTTGTGCTGGTAGGCCTATTAAAAGTATTCTCCTCAATTCTTCACCATCTAATCTAGCTGACCTGTTAAGAGTAGCTGAGAAGAGTACAAAAGGACTGCAAATCTAGATGAGAAAAACCATCAGACCCTTGCAACTATGCTGAAACCTCTACAATCATCTGAAATGAGTTTGATTGTAGCAGTTGGCGGAGCAGAGACGTGTAAAATACATAAATTTCACATATGACTCTGGTGGAGAATCATCATCTGTGCCTTTGAGTAAAGAATCAAATTGAACCAGGCTGCAATCATTCAGACTCACTTCTGATGCTATAAATATTGCCAATAACCCCAACAATGCTTACAATTACTGCCATGATTAGCATTGAACATGCCAAAAACCTCTCCCCAGTGCTCAAAATCACTCCTTGATGACTTAGCCTTAGTGCAATTAGAGCTGGGAATGTGAAACCCAACGAAACAGCTGTTGTTGCCCCCGTGAATTTGAAAGCTGTCCATATGTTAGGGATTATGGTAGACCCAAAATAAATAAGTGCCAGCAATACTACCGTTAATGCAAATGACCTTTTCCTACTCTCTGCAAGGGGAGCTGCCCCCTCAAACACCAAGGCATCCACCGTTTGCCTCAAGGAGAAATGGATAACAGGGAAAACAAGAACCAAGTGAAGAACATAGCCAACTCGTACAATGTAGTTCAAGGCAGTGCTAAAACGAATCCCAAGATCCTTATCAAAGTTGGTCAAGACATCAGATTCAGTATCCTTCCCAAAGAGTAGATACCCTGATATGGCCGTTGAAGCATATACCACAACACAAAGTACTGTAGTGATCCTTCCAACCTGGTTCATCTTTTGGGGAGAACAACCTTCAAGTTCATTATATATGGGTTGAACATTAAAGTGACAGACATATGCGTTAGTTATAATTGGGATGACCACAAGCAAGTCCAGAATTGCTTGCTTTGAACCAAAATCTGGTCCTATCCTGGGAGCTTCAATCTTTCCTTCAATGAGCTTAATGAATGCAACAACAAAACAAACAAAAACAAAGATAACTGCAAGTGCCACAGACGCTGCTGAAGTCAAGCTCAAAGAATCAATCTTATTTAAGGCACAAAGTGGCGCAAGAAAAATCACCACAACAACCAAAATCAACAACTTTCTGTTATCCCAGACTCCATTCCCCAACCATTGATCAAAAACCCCAGTATGATGAAGTGAACCCGACATAACATCACCCATTATTATCAAATACACTACCAAAACACCAGCGTTGTTTATGATTATACATATTTCTGATAAAACCCTTGCAGTTCTTCCCATGGCACTCTGCACGACTTCCCCATATGATCTAGCCTTACACAAAACTGAAAACCTTACGAACAATTCAACACTTATTTCAGACAAAATTCCTATCAAGACTATCAACACACATCCCAAAACCAACCCCAGAACTTTCATGGTAGCAGGCAAGGCCATCATCCCAGCCCCAATAATTGATGTAGTAAGGTTAAACACAGCACCAGAAATGCCAGACCGATTATTGGATGTTACATGAACAAGAGGATAATTATCAATATCAATGTCCCCATCATCATCAACATCATCACCATCCACAATTTTAGGATCTACCCAGTTCTCTCCATCAAAAGGGAGCAATCTTTTGTGGGTTTGTTGTTGGGATCTCAGCTCTTGCACATCATTTTGAATTTGCAACTCTACATACGAGTCTTTAGGTATAACAGAATAGCTACTATCCATTGCACAACGAACAAAAAAAAACCCAAACAGGAAATTCAAGCAAAAATGCAATTTTGCAGAGAGATCCGATGAGGAATGAAAGAATCTAATTGAAAGATGGATGACTTACAAAGAATTGAAATGGGAGGAACAGAAAGGAGTACTAGATCCGTGGGTCAACGGTTTCTCTCTCCACTTCCGTGTTGCCGCTGCAAATTTTTTGGCAGAAAGAGGTTTTGTTTTGCTATTGGGAGATAATTTTAGACGTGGAATTTTGAAATTGGATTTATTGAGGTTCCCCCAGGTCGGATATGTTTCTGTTTTTTTTTTTTTTTTTTGGTAAATGGGTATGTTTCTGTTTTAATAGGGTTTAATACCCAATTTGGTCCCTAAACTTTCTTTTTGAAACTTAGTTCGTCCTTTAACTACAGAAAGCACCCAAATCGTCCTTAAACTTTATTTTTTCAGAACCCAAATGGTCCTTCCGTCAAGAAACTGCACACATGGCACGTTAAGTCTCACCCAATAACCTTTTTTTTTAATTTTAACAAGCTTATGTGGATAATACACCTCACCTAATTGATGACATGTCAATCTCTAGCTTTCTAAATAAAATAAAACAATAAAACAGTGGGATGTTTCTTCCAGCCTACAAAAACCAAAGAACTCTATTCCTTTTTCCACTTCTCTCTCAATTGATTTCGTCGGAAGAACTGACGGCAAAAGCATGACCAGTTCCTCCTCCGTCGTTGCTCACAAGGTTCGCTTCCAATTCTCTCCTTTTCTTTCCATCTTGTGTTACATATGCATGAGATGCAGTATCTCTAGATTTCTTTATTTCTTTGATTTTTTTTGTTTTTTGTTTTTGTTTTGGTGTATTCTATGTTAAAATTATGGAATTTTGATGCTTTTAGGTGCTGAGTAAGACT